TCGGTTTTTTGAAGGAGAATTTTGTAGCAAATAAGATCATGAAAGTCTTGAACATAATCCTGGCTGGAACGTTTCAGATGAGTTTCATTTAACCTTTTACAATTTATTTGTTTCTTTTTAGTCTGCAGCATTTGCATTTCAAGAATGTTTCATTTTTAAATTCAAACTCTTCAAGTTGTGAAACGTAATTTTTTGAATGCAAAAAAAAATATTTGCACTGTGACGGAGCTCATTAATATTACAAAAGTGCCCAAAAAAAGTGTTTATAACACTGTGAAGCAAATAAATATCTGCCACTTTGTTTTTGAAAATATATGATGTTTATTGTGTGGGTGTAAATGTGCTTTGGTGAATTTCTATTATTATGTAAATGTATGCAAATTATATGCAAATTTTGCCGCCACAGTGGTTTAAATTCCTGGGGAGAACACTGCTTCTGAAGGAAAGTGCTGACTATAAACAAAACTATTTTGTGATAAATAGAAGGAACTGGTAATGAAAAGGTTATCGTAAATGTGTCTATGGTCAAAATAAGTTGTATATTAATGAATAAGTATACAATTAATGCAACTGTTGACCTTACATGTACATGCACTGCTGTTGCAGATGCGTTCCTGATAGAACAAATATATGGTATTAAGAAAAAATGTGCAGTTAAAAATTTAGCTGTTATCTTTCATGGCATTTGTCAGTCAATGACTTTTTCTGGGGTCCCAGGGAGCCACAGTGACTTTCACTGGTATCCTAGGGAGCCGTAGTGACTTTCACTGGTGTCCTAGGGAGCCACAGTGACTTTCATTGGTGTCCTAGGGAGCCACAGTGACTTTCACCAGGCTCCTAGTCAGTGTTCTAGGGAGTCATGGTAATTTTCACTGGAGTCTTAGGGAGTCACAGTGATTTTCACTTGATTCTAGGGAGTTATTGTGACTTTTACTAATGTCCTAATGTGTCATAGTGTAATTCACTGGTGTCCTAGTTAGTCCCAGTGACCTTCACTGGGGTCCTTGAGAGTCTCAATGTCTTAGGGACTCACAGTGGCTTTCACTGGGGTCCTTGAGAGTCTCAATGTCTTAGGGACTCACAGTGGCTTTCACTGAAATCTTACAGAGTCAACCCTAGGGAGTCACTGACTGAATGTCATCATTGAATAATTATTGAATCTTGAACATTGATAGCAGTAAAAATAAAATGATTTAAGTGTTCAGTACGAGAGTGAACTTATCATAATTGACACTTCGAATTTGTTTCCCTCCTACTTTGCACCATTTTCACATATTTTTGTAAATATTTTCTGATAATTTTGGACCAAATTGGATATAATTTCCCTATTTTGGAAAAGGTTGGAGGAAGCTATAATAAAAATAATTCTACTTAATTTGTAGCAAGTAACTGCTCTTTATGACAGAGTGTTTCCTGCTGAGGAAGATGAGAACAAATCAGTGGCCGACAACTGTGAGTATGTCTTGCATTTCAAATTAGCTTTCCCACAATACATTGCAATTGATGACACATTGTCTGTTGATTCTGTTTATTTACCACAAAAATAAGCCAATATTTCAGCTTTCTCATTCAATCCAACAATTGCCAAGATAGTGATTTCAAAACTTCAATTCTTGGCAAATGTCTATTGATACCAGAGTCTGTGGTGAATCATTAATCAAAGACAAGTTCCAACTGTGTTCATACATTGACATATATAATCCCTTATTTTGGCTCAGAAAATTCTAAAATGACCTGAAATTGTTTGGTGTTTAGCATACCTTTTAAAAATAATGTTATAAATTACATTGTTACATTTTGTGGAAACGATTGGATTACTTTATGTAAACTATCATGAGAAATCTAATAATAATTTGCACATCAGTGATTCAAATTATACAGTGATACTTTATTATTCCTCTTCTGTGCAGAAGGTAACCACCATTTAGTTAACCACCTGATTTGTGCTAAAATGATATTTTTTATTTTCATTCATGGCAGAAAATGCACACATTCAGATCATTCCATACTTAATAGACTAATTTTTAGTTCCATCATTACCTTAGAAACTTGAGCACTCTGATGCAAAAAATTTAATCTGCATGGAGAATTGATTTTGCTATGGTAACGTTTGCTAGCTTATCAGAACACAGAGAATCAAGGAAACCAGTGAATAAATATTGCATGCTAGAAATCAACCACCAATTGTCTACAATCATGTTATCACTGTCTATACTTCAACCATTTATAAAATGCCATCTCCAAAAATAATCATTTATTTGTGGTTTAATCAATAAAAGACTTACAGTAATGGTAAATGGCATACATGATTTACATTCTGTCTTGAGGGCATGTTGTGATTACTCTGTGCTGACTGTTTTAATCTATGTCTAGCTTCACTGTCATCAACCTGGAGGATGAGCTGCTAGTGTGAATAGACATGTTGTGATTACTCTGTGCTGACTGTTTTAATCTATGTTTAGCTTCACTGTCATCAACCTGGAGGATGAGCTGCTAGTGTGAATAGGCATCATATCACAATTAATTTTAGTGGAAAAGCTATTATTGATAAACTTTCTACAGGCAATAAATCTTTTTTTTTTCTGTACATCAGGTACATGTACTGGTAAATTCTTTAATCAATCAGGGTTCTCCTTCCATTGTAAAATAAAGCCTCAAACCATAAATTTTTATTTATTTTTATGCTATTATGTCATACATGTAATTTTACAAAAATATTACTTTTATTTTGATCCTTTTTTGAGGGGAAAGTCAACCAACAATATTTGCAATATTTTTTTTTGGTAATTTTTTACTATTTTTCTAAATTTCTTTTTGTACCAAATTGACATAATTGATGTCCGTCTTGATCAATTATTTTTGAAAAATATTGTAACTAGAGCCACTAAAATAGATTCATCACCCACCCTCTTTGGTTTTGACACAAATGTTATGAAGTTAATCCCCCTTACTGACTGTTTGAAAGTCTGAACAGAATTTATGATCTATATTTATACTCTAAGATCAATTATGAATTCAAATAGCAGTCAAAGTAAAGTTTCCTTTAAAAATCAGTGTCATTTTCACTATGCAAATGAGTTTGGGGATCTTTTCATTTTCAATGTATATGATGTGACTTGAAAAAAAGATTATGTGGTTTAAATCAAATGTATAACAAAAATATATTATTCCAAGATTCTGTCTGAATTATGATATTTCTGGTTATATTGTAATCCTATTCTCCTACTGGGAAATTTTTTTTTTTAAACTGAAAAATAAATTTGTCTAAAAAAATAATGAAAAAATTCAAAAAAAATAAAATGCGTAAAATATAATAATATAATATTGTTAAAAAATTATTACTTCCCTGAATTTTCCAGATGGGAAATAAAAAATTTGAAATCAATAATTCAGCTTTGTGGCAAACAAACATGATATGTATCAACAATCTGTTGAGATACCTTCTTATATTCCCATCTTTATTGTAAGTTGCCTTTAGGCATGTCATTACTAAACCGACCACACCCAATTTATTTGCGCTCCATGATTTCTTTTTTGAAAGACTACTTTTTTTTTTCTTACTTAAATGAGTACATGTTGAATTGTCTTTTAACTCACTGTTTGAGCAAGACCCAGCAGCCTGTGAAGTGTTCCTTTTTGTGATTTTCACTGGAATCTATATTTAATAATAGTATATTTTCTCTAAAAAAAAAAACAAATTCGAAGCAAATTTTTTATTGGTGTTGAAATATATTGACAATAAGGTACTAAAAGCTTAATAATGTGAACCTGTAGAATTAGTAGATTTTTATCGATAAGCATTTTTTTAAACAAGATTATGTCCCAGCACAACATTGTATTTTTGCATAAATTGTATGACAATCAGGTTGCATTAATGTAGGACAACAGTTTTTTTTTTGGGGGGGGGGGGACTTTGATTTTTTTATATTTATAAAGATCTGTTATTCATGTGAATCAGAACACTAAACTACACATGTATGAAAGGAAAATTGGAAAATGTTATAGCAGTGAGAATTTAAAAATATCTGGAAACAGTTATGATTCATGAAAGGTGACAAAGTAAAGGCACACTAAATATTACTAAATATTTTTATTTATGCAAATATATTTAAATTCTGAAATCATTCCGCTCAACAAATTTGATGTTTTTAAATAAATTTCCCTATTTTCTATAAACATAAATATTCTTTTTCTATCTTTTAATCAATCCAAGTCTACTATATTAATAGTATACTTCATAAAGGTATTGTGCTTGTTCCCATAGTAACCAATAATCCTCACATTCTCTAGTGGCCATTTTGAATTGAAAGATTATGCAATTCAATGCTTATATTAGGCATATAATTAAAGAATCTTCATGAGAGTCACGATTTCTTTTGTATCTATACTTCATAAATAAAATCCTTGCTTCTTCAGTTTTTTATCATCCTCCTGCACAATCCTTTAAAATTGTCTACTTAGGTTTGTACCTTGTGTGTTTTCTGTCAGTCACATGTGCAATCAACTAAAAAGGTTCTTTTATCGTAATTTGCATGAAAATATACAAGTATCCTAGATGATGCAGAGAAGATTCTGTTTCCATGGTGACACTCTAATGATGCAGACAATAGCTGCCTTGACATTGAATCTACTTTTGTATAAATATAAAGCCATATACAGCTTCCTGTGATTTGTCGTTGGCAGCCTGGCAAGCTGACGAATAGGTTGTTCTTTTGTATCTTAGCTGCATTGAAAGTGGTTAAAATTGAATTCTCAAACCATTTGTGAATCGCTCTATTTTTTTCATCCCTCATCACTTAAGTGGTATTGATTACTAAACATATGAAGTTCAATGAAATCATGAACTTGTACCTTGAGTGGCACTCTGATTGTACATCCCTTGATTCTATAGCCTATACATGTATGTGTTAACTATCGGTGTGGCTAAAAATGTACACAGTTTTCAGAGGAGGCACTTTGAGAGAAAATTTACTTCAATGAATGCCAAAATGTAAAAAAGGATTTAGTGATTTTCCTTTTAAACCCCTTTTCTGATTATATAACTTTGATGAGTGATTTAATAAATCCTCATATTTCACTGTTACAAGATAAAACCCCTGTTCATTTTCAGTAATTTACAGCTATGAATATCAAAGTACTGATTTTAGGCCAAATTCGTAATCACGGTAACATTGGTCAAGATTTTCGTAAAAATCTAGTTAGATTCAAGGACAGGAAGAAAAAGTAAAAGTTCCCTGTTAATAAATTCATGTCAGTCTGTTTATATCAGGCTTTTTGTATTTACTTAGTACGTACTGTCTTATTACTTTGACAGCCAGTTAGCACCCAAAATTTGAGTACCCAAACCTTTTTAATTCTTTTGTCAGTGCTTTGCGAAGAACTTCAAGACTCTGGGAATCTCAGATTTTCCAAAAGAAATTATGGTCATTAGTTTTTGCATTATTAAATGAACACATAAAAGAACACTACCATGCATGCATATATGTATATGTATGATATATGTAATAATCTTCATGATTGAAATATATATACATGTTCTCAAGTTTTTACTAGACTGCTCTCATCAAATAATGTTATGCTAGACTGACTGGAATCTAAACAGTATTGTCTGTACCACAAATACATACCATTAGTCATCCTGGCAGATTTTATGTGCATTAATAAGGAAACCATGACATGTGTAATGACCTGGATTGCTTTAATATGTTGAAGGGGAATGTAATAGTGCCCTCTTGTGTTGAATTTTTATTGTCTTTTGTTTTTAGCTAATAAAAGCGACAGGTTACCCTTGTTTATGAGACGTGTGACTATTTTGTTTTTTACAGGTGCCTTAATGTACCTGAATGAAGCTACACTACTCAATAATGTCAAATTAAGATACAAAAAACAAGAAATATATGTGAGTATTAATATGATATGAATATGATAAAGATGAATATAGATGCAGTGACTTACACCAATTTATGAGAATTCCTTCACAAATTTCTTTGTGGGTATGCTTGACTAACTTTGTAAACAATCGTTATCATTGGTTTTAATTGGTCCTGTGTTCATACATGTATAAAGACTAAACTGAGCCGGCATTATCATTGGCTGCTATGTTTTTTTAAAATACTAGCAATGAATGGAACTCCAGAGTGAGGCTGACAATGAGGGCATGCTTTTAAGGCAGCTAACACAAGCTAAAACCGTTTCTGTCAGTACAGGGTGCTGGTTGAGAATTTTCATTTAAGGACATCTTAAACTAAATCGGCATGCACCACCTTATCTTGTTCATGCATGTTTCAACAACGGCTTATCTATAAAGCTGGTCTCCAAACTGGCTTTTTGGCATGCATGTGAACACAGTATGTATCTTTAAACAAGAAATGTCTGATAAATGTTTTTATCATCTGCTCTGCAAGCTGAAAATGATGTTATCCCTAAACAATGCGATATGAAGTTTACATGAGTAAACTGATCTTTTCTGAAGTGCCAAACTCTCTCGATAAAAGATGTTTTTAACTTAGCTGACAATAACAAGTTAAAATAAAGATTAACAATGAATGAAAATTGGTTAACACAAGAAAACAGTTATATGACCAAGCTATCATTGAAAAAAAACAACGACTTGTATTCAGAATATGGAGGCCAATATTGTTTTAGGGTGATGGGAAATGTCAAATTCTGAATAAAACTGTAAATGTGAGTAGACTAAAAAGCAGCAGCAAACAGTTTTGTAGTCAATATTGTCATTCCTCATTCACTTGACAAAACAATGGGAAGTTGACAATTTGAAAACACAATCAAATTTTAATTAGGCTCATATTTTGCTAAATTTCTGTTCTATTCTTAAGATGTTATAAAAGAAAACACCTTTATTAGCTTTTCCTGACAGCCGAATGCAATATTCAACTTCCTCTATATTGGTTTTGAATAAATTCATTATCTATTTATTTTTAGTATTTATTATTATCATCATAATATTTATTATATTTATTATTTGAAAGATCATGTACTAGACTAGTTAAAGAGAACTATTTCAGTGATACTCACCATAATCAGGTCATTTCAGATTTACTTATTTATTCAACTTTATGAAAAAAAAAAATATTTTTTGTTTTTGCTTATGATGAAATAAATTAATTTATGTGGATAGAATCAAATGAAATCACAAAACAATATTACAAAGTATGTTACTACATAGAGTAGTTCCCTGTTGTCCTTGTCTTAAATTTGCCTATATTTATAGCTTAATAGTCAAAGTTGATTAATTGACATTTCTTTTCAGACTTATGTTGCCAATATTCTGATTGCCGTCAACCCATACTGTGAGATGCCACAATTATATTCAAAAGAAACAATTAAAAAATACCAAGGCAAATCACTAGGAGTTTTACCCCCTCATGTATTCGCAATAGGTAAGTTAGTTTCAACTCTTTGATGTATGACTTCATTCATATCTATGTTTTCACTTATTATCAGAAGAAGTTCTATTTTGTATACACTGCTATCATTCTTCATCAATTTGTTCATGGCTATTACAGCTGTTCTGAGAATTATTCGGACAGTCAGTTAGCAAAATGACTTGCAACTTTGCAAAACATTTTGGTCTTTGCCCAAAATAGACTTGTCGGTGCTATTTGAGTGACGGGCGCGTGGTTTGGGATTACTATTTCATAGGGGTTGTCGACTTGGTTAATTGTAAGTATTATCTAGCGTGCGTTCACAGCAACCATTCTTTATTTTTGACTCTCGTGTGCGAAGCACAAAAGGGAGTCTTTGCAGTTACCCTGTCTGTATGTATGTATGTATGTATGTCACTTTTTTTGTTCCACCGTTATCTCAAGAACCACTAATCAAATTTTGGTGAAACTTGGTACATAGATGCTCTGGGATAATGCCCAGAGTTGATTAGGTTTTGGTAAAAATGTATGAATATTAATTACCTAATTTGCATGATACTTAGCTGATTTTTAGCTGTTCCAAGACTGTTCCACTTATGTCTAAAGAACCACTCATTGGATTTTGATGAAATGTGGCACATGGATGCTCTGAACTAGTGCGCAGATTTGATTAGTTTTGGGTAAAAATCTATGAATATTAATTACCTAATTTGCATAATAATTAACTGATTTTAAGCTGTTCTATGACTGTTCCACTGATTTTTTGAAGAACCACTCATTGGATTTCAATGAAACTAATGCACAGATTTGATTAGTTTTGGGTAAAAATCTGTTAATATTATTATTTACATAATGATTAATCAATTTTCGGCTTTTCCACTGATATCTCAAGTACTAATCATAACATTTCAATAAAACTTGGTACATAGGTGTCATATGACACTGCACAGACCTGATAGTTTTTAGGGTAATATCAGTACATATTAATTACCTAATTTGCATAATTAATA